TTTTTGATTAGTAATATGCATTGCTAAGAACTTCATTTGGACAACTTTAAAGCCCCTTTTTTCAATATTTGCACCCTTAGATTCCAGATTTTCAAATAGTTGTATCTTGGCCAAATATTGTTTATAACAAGCCATACATCAATGGAAAACCTATTTATTCACCTTTCAGATGTTGTATAAATATAAATTTTAAAAAATGGACCCTTATGACTGGTTTTGTGGTCCAGGGTCACATATACTAAAGACTTAAATACTTGTTAAACATACTCCAGTAATCTTTGTTTTCTTTACAACTTCAAAAAGAAAATAATTTTTACAGTGCACACTAAGGAAAGTTGGAATTTTTCACAGGTCTATTTCCTGTATTTTGAATTACGTATTGCACTGTTGTGTTTCAGAGTTAACGGCAATGTCTATAAACTGGAACATTTTCCATTTATCTATGGATTTTTTTTCTTATAGTGTAACTTTAAAACATCACACTCACAGTTCTGCTCTTAAACTGACTATCCACACGAATGAGGTTACCTGCGTCACTTTGTGATGATGCTTGCTCATATGCTGTTGCTTAAAGAGCCAGAAGTTCTGTCCCCACAGATGTCCCACCACACGACAGGAAATGTCTCACTGCGTGATAGTCATGCTGTGTAGAGATATGCGTTTGTCTGGGGTTCTCAGAGGACACAACTGGCACACCATGTCACAGTCACAACTCACTTTCACCATTACTTTAACACTTTTATAGCTGGGAAGATCATAATACACTTTAAAGGGACACTCAGTAATGTTTTACTAATAATAAAGTACAGTAAAGTGTCCTTAAAACTCGATTGGGATAAAGTCATCAGTCTTTCAGAAAAGCTGTTTCATATGGTGTGGGTCACTGCTTTATATATAGTTCAATGTGTGATGCTATGGGTTTCTCTTCCTGTTTTATTCTGTCTCTTCAGGTAGTTTTGCTGATTTGCAAAAAATCTATCAGCACTCTGAAGCATAAGCTATCTATCTTTCTTTCTTTCTCATATAGTCATTCAGAGAAAAAAGCCAATATGAATGTGTCCTTTATGTGGTTTGTCAGTTTGTTAGCTTTCAGGGAAATTCGTGTCTTGGTTTTTTTCCACACACACTCACAAAAATGCTGCAGCCCACACATCGCAGACATAAGCATTACAATTATTATTGACAAAAAGAAAATGTATGCATTTGTGAGAAATACACAGTGTTTCAAAACATACTTAAGGTCTCTCTGTGACTCTGGAGCACAAAAACAGTCTTAAGTCGCTGGGGTATATCTGTAGCAATAGCCAACAATACAGTACATTGTGTGGGTCAAAATTACTGATTTTTCATTTATGCCAAAAATCATTAGGATATTAACTAAAGATCATGTTCCATGAAGATATTCTGTAAATTTCCTACTGTAAATATATCAAAACTTAATTTTTGATTAGTAATATGCATTGCTAAGAACTTCATTTGGACAACTTTAAAGCCCCTTTTTTCAATATTTGCACCCTTAGATTCCAGATTTTCAAATAGTTGTATCTTGGCCAAATATTGTTTATAACAAGCCATACATCAATGGAAAACCTATTTATTCACCTTTCAGATGTTGTATAAATATAAATTTTAAAAAATGGACCCTTATGACTGGTTTTGTGGTCCAGGGTCACATATACTATATGTTTTGGTGAGGATTGTTTAAAAATGAATAAGCTTATGAAAAAATAACACTTCTGACATTTTAAATGGGAAGAAAAAAGATTTGCAATATCTTGTTGAAATCAAAGACTGTGTTTAAAATGGGAAAATAATTTAGAATATTTTGGCTTCTACATAAGTAAATAAATAAATAACTTTCAGCATTTAATTGTAATTATTTTTTTGTGCTTTTTAAAAGATAAACAATTGTTCTACTGTTGGGTCATCACTTAATGTACAATTTGCATCCTGATATAAAACTTTTGAGTCTCTTTAAAAGTTTGTAGGCATGAAAACTGGGAGAGATGGAGGAAAAAAAAGGAGGGAAAAAAGGAAAATATTATTTGAGTCTTCAAAAAGCTCCCAAAAAGCCCAGATGTCTGAGAGGCAAAAACACACACACTCAAAGTCACATTTAAAGTGTTTTACGACTCTATTTAAATACAGACAACTGTTATATTCTTAAAGTGTATTTCTCTTTGGGGAAACCCCTGATGCTTTTTTTTTCATATGTGGCCCCGTTTATGTGGAGCCGTTACCTTTGAACTCTGCCGTCTGGTTGGATGCCTTTACAAATGAGGTTTTAAGCTGAAGGAACATTATACTTGAAGGTTTTCCCTCTCTCGGTTTCAGACGAGACCCTTAGGAGCAGGCGCAGAGCATGGGAGCACTGTTTAGCTCCCTGTCAGAGTCTGCACAGGAAATCTAGGAAATTCCTGACAGAGATGCGGAAATCCGTCCGCTGTGCGGGGACTTGTGTTATGCACACAGCACACACACTCAAATACAAATACTTCTGTGTGAGGTGGGACACAGATCCAGGAGGATTTTGAAGGATTTTGAAGGATTTTGCTATTGTGTGTGCACAGAACTTAGAGAAAAGTAAATATTTTTTCCACATTTCTTTATCACACTAACTCATTCTAAAAAGCCTGTTGAATGTCAATGACTGCTTGTATTTTAATTTGTTATGTGAACAGTAAGTTTTCAGACTTTCCATCTGTGCCCATGCCTCACAAATTTTTACTGCGCTGCATTTAATCACATTTTTTACAGCTTAACTAATTCAGAAATCTAAACTCCAAACGTTGGAAGTACTGCTGCGTCCAAACCACAAACCCTGTCCGGAAAATTTGGAGTTCCCTGGCAGCGTCTTTAACCCCAGCAATCATGTGAAACCTTTTAATTCTTTTTCGGCCCAGCTTTAAAAGTCGAATGTCACTTTTAATATTGTGGGAACAACATTTTTTTTTTCTGAACACGCTTCCTTGCCGAAAATCTGCCGTTCGAAGGTTTAGAGTTAGATTTTTTAAAATGTTTTTAATGGGAGTTTCTTATGCTAACCAAAAATACAGTAAAGCAGTAATATTATTAGAATTTAGAATAACTGTTTTAAACATTAAAATGTGATTTATACATGTGATGCAAAGCTGAATTGTCAGCATCATCACTCCAGTCTTCAGTGTCACATGATATCCTTCAGAAATCATTCTAATATGCTGATTTTTTGGCTTAAAGGCACAATATGTAAGATTTTTTTATTAAAATATCCAAAAACCACTAGAACAGTGTTATATATTTTGCTGACTGTACTTACAATATCCCAAATGTTTCAAAGAATGTTTAAATCCAGAGAAATAAGCTATTTTAACTAGTGACACGGACCGTGTCTATAGTGTCATCGTGTTGCCTGCCAATGACGTCATAACCCCTCGCTTTCCGAAAGACGCTTTAATATGTTGTGCGTTTTATTAGACCGGTAATGACCGCACAGAGTAGCATTATAACAGACCTTTCAAATGTATCTAGTATGATAAAACAGCACTGCTTTACCCCCCCACATACGCACGACCGGAAGGAGCGGAATCGGTCGACTGTGGCATAATAAAAGCTCCGTTGCTTTTGAGCCGTGTGTCGTTTCACTTCCACGGCTTTCAGCCTCACCCTGCTTCATTCTACTACGTTAATAAATCATTAGCTCATCCATGAGGATGATTACTGCCCGAGTCCCGTCAGATTGCATCGGCTGTGGGGATGAAGACCACAACTCCCATGATAACATGATTCCACACACAGTCACGGCATCATCTAACTACGCCTTTGTCTATTTGTTTATTTTGAATACGCGCCCTCCAGCGGCGAAAATTGCATATTGTGCCTTTAAGTGACATTTTTTATTATCACTATCAATGGTAAAAACAGTTGTGCTGGTTAATATTTTTGTGGAAACCCTGATACATCCTTTCTCAGGATTCTTTGATGAGTATAGAAAGTTCCGCATTTATTTGAAATTGACATTTTTTGTAGCATTTGTAAACAGTAACTACTGTTACTTTTGATGCAATTTAATGCATCCTTGTTGAATGAAAGTATTAATTTCTTAGAGAAAATCTACTTTTACTGGCCCCACATTTTTGGTATTGTATACAGAAACTGTTGCTGGTTGAAAAAAAAGTGATCTCCGGTCTAAACTTGAGCCAGGTGGAAACTGAAATATTTATAACACTGCAACCAATCAGTCACTTAAAGAGGCCTGAGTCTGCCTCACCGAAACAAGGAAAAGATAATTGTGAGATTAAGTTCAGATGAATATGATGAAAGGTTTTACGATACAATATGAAGATAAATATGATTTAAAGTTGCAATAATGAGAAACTGCGATAAATTGTAAGATTTATTAAAATTTATTATTTATTAAAAAAACTGTATAAGATATAAAAGCACAATTTAGTTTTTTTTTTTACATGTAAATGGACTTTGGTCACCACTATGTATAGTGAAGCATTACAAAGCATTATTACAGTCTCCATTATAATACTGTGGATGTTTTGGCTTTATATGGAAGAGCTGATGTTGAATGACATACACTGGCATGGACGTGCGTTTCAAAATAAAATTCCTCCTCTATTGTATGAGACTTCTGTGTCTGTTCTAATTGCATTCTTACCTTGACAGCTTACACAATACTGTTGATTGCATGACAGTAAACACAAGAGTTTTTTTGTGTGTGCTGGTGTGACATTTACATTTACCTTCCGTGTGATTTGAATAAATATAGTTCTATCTTAGCTGCATGTGTTTCTATAGCGTGCGCTCGTCTCAGTAAATGTGCACACAACAGCAGGATGTGGACAAATCTGTCTCATGCTGCTACCTTTCAAACAGTTTCATGCAGTTTTACATGATCGCTTGCGTTCGACTCTGTATTTTTCTGATGTTTCCTCCCACACAGCGGTGAGCTCCTAGCTGACTGCTCTCAGATGAACCTAAGAAACAGGAAGTTGAGCACTCTGTTGTCACTAACTCTTATCACTGTCAGAGATAACTTGGATTTTATGATTCTGAACTATGATGTCATTTGCCTTACACCTCCAACCTGATAAAAAAAAGCCCCATGGTTTTTTCATGAGTTGTTACTGGAATTTCAAGCTTTATATTAAAATGGAAAAGTTGAATACATGTGCAGTTTGAGATTTAAAGTCCTGTTTAAACTATACAGATTTGGCCTTTCCTCTAGATCAGACTATAGACCGTTAAATACGTTTCTGTTCAGAGAATACTTTTATTGGCAGTATTACATTTTAACAGCTTGCATTGAAGCTGTGTTTGCATGTTCATTTAATAACTCAAGCATACGGTTTAGTGTCAGCCTTGTGAAACTGTTCAAGTGAAAGCTTCTGTGTGTGTGTGTGTGTGCACGTTTTTGTGACAAATGAGGACATAAATTTGTATAATGACAAAGGTATGACATAGGTATTACAAGGAGAAGGTGACTTTTCAGGATATTACCCCATGTCCCCACTTTTCAAAACGCTTATAAATCACACAGAATGGAGTGTATTGAAAATCTGAAATAGCACAAAGTTTCCTGTGAGGGGTAGGTTTAGGGGTAGGGTTGGTGTAGGGCAATAGAATATACGGTCTGTAAAGTATAAAAACCATTACGCCTATGGGATGTCCCCACTTTTCACAAAAACAAACCTATGTGTGTGTGTGTAAGTATGTGTGTACACCTGTCTGCCCCCCTAACTGTCTGCCCACTCTGACACTTCTCGTAACTTACCTTCGATTTCAACCCCACTGATTTGCCAAGAGAGTTCAGGTGGGTGGCCATTCGCTGCCGCTGAACACTTGATGATTGTTTTATCTTTATACTCTGCCATTTCTATTTTTGGAATTTCTGTGATCCAAACAAAAAGAGTTTAATTTCATATTTAATAGTCATATTTGATGCATGTTTTTGGAAAAGATGAGAAGTAAATATACTTACCTAATACTTTTACTTTAAATCTTTTTGAAATGACTTTATTGTCATACAGTAGACATCTGTAAAGCCCTTCATCTTTTAAGGTAACATTAGACATGTGTAATGTATATTCAGAGCTGCTTAAATGAAAAATGCTGCTCCTTGAGTCTCTTAGAGCTGTAGGGGAACGTGAAATACATTTTTGATGTTTATGAGATACAATAAAGAGGAAATGTAAATGTGTTTGAAATACATTCTTCAATATACAGTGTTCACACCCTCACCTTTTTCATTGTTAAAGAACAAAAGATGGCCTTGTGGATTTCTCCACTCCATGTGTCCATCCTCACTGAAGTTTTTTCGAGGGCATCTCAATACCAGCGTTTCTCCTTCTGCCACTGTAAGATACGATTGATTTACCAATTGAAATAATACATTTATTATTTAAAATGGTAAAACTTAAAAAAAAAATTTAAGTTTGAAATAAATAAAGTTTGATATTAATATAAATAATACTAATGTTTACATCAATATATTAACATGAATACTATTCATTTGAATGTTAATGCTTATATTAATATATATATATATATAAGATCGTACATTACTAATCAAATAAGTCAATCTGTGAATTTGTGATATTGATCATGTGAAGTCTTTGTACAGATGGTCAGATGTTCTTGGTTCTATTAAAGCATGATGGATCATTCTCAAATCATGCTAGAGAACATGATCATCATTAAAGCGAAATGATTTTTCCCCAACACATGCTTAATCTCATGACTGAGCAATGCCGATAAAACCTCAATTCTCTCTCATTCTAAGTTCCTTTGTTTTCATGTGTTCCAACCAATGGATTGATTGAAAAAACGATAGGCCTGCTGCGCTCCTTCCTCAATACTACGTCAGGCCTCCACGTCATATAGCAACACACAGCCTGGCATCCCCACAAACAGACGTACATATGCATGACAATAGGTGCTTGTTTAGCTCACACATCACAGTTGCATCTCCCCTTGTGACCTTTTAAACTAAAGTGCACACGCTCACATAAACGGACAGCAAAGCCAAAAATGCAGCCCACAGCTCCCTATTTTGCCAAAGCAGCAGTCAAGAGTGAGAGAAAGAGAAAGAGAGCAAATGCTCAGTCAAGGTACATTGGTCCTGTAGAGCAAAACAAAGCAGCTGAGATTCCATCAGCCATCTGCCAGCAAACATTTCTCAGAGTTTAACTATTTAAGCAGTCAGATTTACCAAGGAGGCCTGCACAAGACCCCCGCCTTTACTCTACTGTATACAGCCAAACCATTTCTGAATTGGGTAAGAAAAATAAACTCCATTCAGTTTGTGTATTCCCTGAAAAAGACATTACACAACTTTACTTCTCAAGTAGGCTTGTCTTGTTTTAAGGATGTTTAGACATTTCAAACACAGAAAGACTTGGGAGAGCTTGTCATTCCTTAAAACTTGATGTAACCACTTTAGGTCAAGCAAAACAGTCTTACATAAGCTATTCCCAGAGAGGCAGACAAACCAACGCAGGAATGCCCTTTTCTCATTAAACTCAATCTTCTTCCCATTACTCTGGTCGGCAAAGAGCTTGGCAGGTAAACCACTGTAAATTATCTACTCTATAGACGAATTAGCGCGTTTAAATGATTCAAATGTGTACAATAAATATAGTCATGTGCCTGCGGGCAGTTTCACAGAGTTGAGAACTGGCGTGAGATTTAATTGGGGAGTGAATCACTGCCAGCTGGAAGCCGAGAGAGATTTGTTTGGCTCCAGCACGTGTAATCTGAGGATCAGCCAGATAGATTTGAGCCCTTATTGCAGCTTGCCAATATTGCAAACGAACTACACTAATTTATAAAATGATCCAAACTGTCTGTTAATCGCACATTCGTGCATCTTTGCGTTTATTATAATAGGACCGTTCTCTGGCTCGCTTAGTTTCCTTGCAGTGTAGATCAACAGGGGCTGCAATAAGGTGAGTTAGTAGAGTTTCTTTTCTAAACCAATATGTTAATTCAACGAATCGTTGTCGTTCACTTCCATGCATTGACTCATATTTTCGTCCACTGAAGTTTTGTGAAACGCTTTATTGGATTTCCTTGCGAAACAATGGGTACCAGTGACTGCTGTGAGGAAGTATTTCATTGGTTGGTGCTCTGAACGACCACAAGTCAGTCGGTGTTTTGTTTTTTTTCTGAATAAAGACAATTCAATTGACATAAAGCGGTTATTTAGATTGTTGTTTTACAGTATGGCTTGATGCCCTGCACCACAGGTGAAAATGAATTCTTTTTAATTTGTGAGGGGAATGCTTATTTATAGACTTATAGATTCGTTTTTAGTCAAACTATAGACACGCATTTAAATAAAGGATACTCAGACTTGTTTTGTTCATGAACGAAATAATTTGTGTAAAGGATTCATTGATCATTACAGCCAAATTGGCTTGTCGCCTACTGAACAAATCGTAGCGAATCGTTTTAGTGAATGGGTTCAAACGATTCGGTTCACCGGGATGAATCAAACAAAGGTGAACCACCGGACATTCTTATTGACATTTTCCAGGGGCGCCTTGTGCCTGACCAAACCAGACTTGGATCCTCTGTGTTCTCAAGTAAACAATGTAAAATGTTAATTCAGGGCCGCACTGGACCAGTGTGTGATGGATATAGCACTGCTTGCCGTGACCTTGTTCTCTAATGCTCCACTGACTAATTATAGACAAGATGATGGTATCGTTTGACCACTGTAACTTGATTTCTCTTGGGCAGATGTGTTCATTTAAACATTCATGCTGTGCTTGTTGACAACTGCATGGTCTGTTTCTGCTGCCTTTAGGTGAATTTTGTTTTCCAGGTTTCTGGATTTTAATTCTCATTGCCTTTTCCACATCATTTAACCCAATTTGATGGGTAACTTGGATTGGGTTGTAAAATGTCTCGATTTGGACTGGATTTAGCTGGCATTTGGTTCTCTCTGAAACTTCACGTTTTGCCACACAATATGTGAGATGGCACAATTTACTCATGCCTTAGAATCCTCACAAGTTTTTCCTGTAATTAAAGTGCACGAAAAGACCACATGCATGAGTCACAAGGCAAGCCATTATTTTTATAATGCTGCCTATCTGGTTTGCTTACCTTAGTGGTGAATTGAATGAGGAATGCAGATGTTGGTGGATATTGATGTGGAGATTAGGTACACTCTAAAAAATGCTGGGTTGTTTCAACCCAACTTTGGGTCAAATATGGACTAACCCAACTTTTGGGTTAAAAATGTAATTAAAAAATGTAACTCAACAGCTGGGTTAGTCCATATTTGACCCAAAGTTGGGTTGAAACAACCCAGCATTTTTTAGAGTGTAGGCAGAGGGAGACGGTTGCGCAAATATCTTGCATTCCTTCAGCGTAACCTAATCGGATTTCATCCCTTTTCCTCTTTTCTTTTATCATATGTCTACAAACATCATCTTCATGTGAAAGTAGCCTTGCAGCAGAGAAGTTCACAGTAAGCTGAGCGGGTCAGCTTGTCCTGTGATTTTCTCTGAGTGCAACCAAAATCTTTCTTTAGTGATGGGTCACCGTTTAAAATCATTCTTCAGCTCTCCACATGAACATAACATACTCGCTGGCCTAGATTTTCCCTGCATTTAAACCAACTTGGATGGTAAAATGTGTGTGTGTGTGTGTGTGTGTGGCTGACTGGCCGAACACACTCATTTTACTGAATGGCCAAACCATCTGGCCCTGTTGTCAGCACTCCATTCATTTGACACAAAGCTCCAACAGCAATTTCCTTATTATTCAGCGAGATCAAATCCCAAGTTTGTTCCCAGACAACTTGTTTGTTTAGTTGATGGAAGATCAGTTTAGTTATCAGTGGTGTTTACTTCTGTTTCCATTTCCAGTAATTTTCTCCCCCTTATTTCGGAATTTTTCTGATTTGTAACAATAGTACTTGTTCTCATTAATGTTTTGAGAATCAAAAGTTGTCATTGGTGCGGAAATGGACACTGTGAGAGAACAAAGTGTGGAAAGCTGTAATAAACTTATGTCCGTTCTCCTTGAATATCTCCATAGCTGGTTACCGGACATAGTGTAGTGGATGTCCTAGTTCATTAAAGTTCTTGCGAGTTGTGTCCCAATTCGGTGAGATTAGAGGGTATTTTTAAGCATATCATCTTTGGAGCTCCTCCTAGAGTATCCAAAAATGAGTCTATCCCCAACCTTCAAAATCCTATCACTGATCATGCACCAAAATTTGAGGAACTACATCCACAGATAGCTTCATGTACAACCTAATCAGTCCTAGAACTACCTTTTCGCAAGCTTTCCATTGACTTCATACATAGTTTAAACTTTTTTTTTATTTTTTTTAATGAAACTCAACACTTTTTTTTTTTCCTCTTGTGGTGCGGCTGTTTTGGTAATCTACACTTTTTATCCTCAGGAAGCCAATAAAGTTCATGAGTTTAGCTGAGAATTGAGTGATCCTCTATCCGAGGTGGTCTGTGTGAGGAATGTTTTACTGCAGAATTCTGGGTTGCTGACTGAGCCTTCTGCCATACCGGTAGCAGACAGGCCAGCTGTGCATGTGATTCAGCCCTTCACTTAATAATGGGGTTGTACGATTTCCCTTTAATAACGGATTGAGATTGTATATCTTTGTGTCTAAATGGTCCTGTGTTTGTGTGTTCATGCACACGTGCATGCTTTTGGTCTTTTAAATGTTTATCCATTCTTTGACTTTCAAAGTGAACATGTTTCTACCATCTGGCCATGAGAATGAAACCGAGAGATGGAGACCGATAGACTGTGAAAGAAGACGCTAGGTGTGATTTTTGCACAGGAAGTCTAACCACCAGAGTATCTGGGTCATCTCCAAAGATGAATGTACATTTCCCGCCCAGTCATTGTTTTAGATTGAGGCTGACCGTATTCATTGGCATTTCAGAGTATTGTGGTATTTGACTGATTTCTCATTCATCTTTGCAGTGCTGAGCATTATTGGCTTGAGCCTTTTTTTTTTTTTTTTTTTCTGGGGGAAGAACTTTGAAGAATGCCTGACTTTTCAAACCAGCTCTATTCACCCCTCTGAGAAGAGGGCAGGAGAAATGTGAGGTTGGCAGAATTATGGCAGTGCCCTTTGACTCTCAATTCAACACTTTATGTGTGTTTTGCAATTCAGAAATGATAAACTCTCATGTCTGCAGCAGTCAAACATTTTTTTGTTCAGGATAATTTCCTACTAAACAACTGGGTTGTTCTGAGAGTTGGCATCGTCACATGCGGTTCTTGTACTCCATGTGAACTCTGTAGTCCGACTGTGTTCTGAGCTCAGACGCTGGAACATGCTCACTTCACATCGATCCTGCCAACCACACTCGCATTTAACAGGAAAATCACTCCAACACTGTCAATGGATGCATTTTGGCTTGCACCCTTGGAAATTTTCAGGGACTTTTGTAATGGTTTGCAATCAGAGGGATTGTTAACATCAAAACCCAACAACAAAAGCTTTTTAAACCCCCATGTTTAATGGTTTGTGGCCAAAAATGACACAGCCTATCTTTAGCAGATATACATATTAAAGTAGTCTATTTCTTTTGGCAAAATTGGCCAAAATGTTTCAATTTATGAGCCCATAAAATGTTCTATACAATGAGTTACTTTTATTCACTTATTTATTATTTAAATTATTTTGTTTTAGTATTAATTATCTATTTAATTAAAAAATTAATTTGAGTATTAACGAAATTGTAAAAATAAGTCATTTTTAAAGTTAACCCCTTTTTAAGTCCTTCCCTGTCTTTGTTCAATAGCAAATGTGTCAACACAGGAAGGACATCTTTGCTTGGCCATTTGATTAGGTCTTTGAGATGCCCAACTGAAGCTACATCCGGAATCTTTATTTTCCACTTGTCGTTTTGCGTGTCCGTGTTAAACTTTTAAGTAGGGTGTTAATGGAGACGTTGATGGGAAGAG